GCTTTTGCTTGCTGGCTTGCTTGGAGTTTTTTTTTTTTACTTTCTTTGCATGTTTTATACATTTGTAATCCTCATAATGCTTTCTCATTTTTTTTCGCCAGGGGTAAAGTAAAGGCTGTCACTTTTCTCTTACCAATGGATATGTCACCATGTGCTGAAAAGCAAAGTTCCCTCAAAAGCCCGGAAAATCAGAGCACAAAACCTCTGATGACCATCGCTGAAAAGGATATGTGAGCCAGTGAATTTTTAAAGGGCTATTGATTCCCCGAGATAAATTGGCCTTAAATGATAGCTGTGTGTCAGGTTCCTCTATTGCAAAATGCTTTGGCAGGATGCCCACAGAGCATCACCCAGGCTGTGTTTCGGGTCACGGCCCGATGTTCAGCATGGAAATGGAAGCCATGGCAAAGTCGGCTGGATCACACTGTGATGAAGCCACACAAAGCAAAGGTATACCTCCATACAGTGCTTCTGAGCAACACATTTCAAGGACCACTTACCTCAGGACTGATGTAAAAAGGCTGTTGAAGCTGGTTTTGATGTGTTTGTCACAAAAAGGATAATCTTTGTCACTGCTTGTGTTTGCTGATTCCGTGGACAGGAAGGTATTTGGTGCAAATGACAAAGTAAGAGCTACTAAGGAGCCTGTGAGGTTTTCTCTGTAGGTATAACTTTCAAACTTCACAGTACTAATACAGCAAAGTTAAGAAAGCATTACAGAGTCAGTTAATGTCACCCTGAATTTCTGCAAACCTAGGCAATGACTGTTCATGTTCATTTGAGGTTCACCTCTAAGGGAGCACAGGGGAACATAAGTACCTCTCCGTATGAAAATGTGACTACAAATCTCTTTCTGGCTTGGTGTGTTTACCCAGACGGAGACTAAAGGCTGTACACCAAGCCAAAATAGGAAGAATTGTGAGTATCAGAATTTTTCAGGAATGCCTTCTCAGCACCGCTTGGATCAAAAATCATTAGCAGAAATTCAGCAAACAGGTGCAAAATAAATGTGAGAGAGAACTAGAGATAGCTTGTAAAAATGAACAGTGCTTGTTAGTTTTAATCATATGAGTAAAGATAGTGTCCCATTTTATTTTGATTACAAGTATTTATGGAATCAAAATACTGCACATTGCTATTTCTTTATGTACAGATGGAACCGATGATTGAATTTTGTATGGAGAATGCATGAAGAGTTTGTACTGATAACTTTATGGAAGATTTTCTTCTCATTGTCTAATCTTCAACTCTTCAGTTTCCTAAAGTGAAAGCAGAGACCTGGTGGAAAAAAAATCCCTTCTGGGTTTTCCATGAAGTTGTATATTTGTATAAAAATCTGTGCTCCTTTTTTTCATTTTGAAATTCACCATGTTTTGTATATTCAATTACACTTTTAATATATTCTCACCATTGAAGTAATAATTTCAATTTCACTGCTATTTTATTTGTGTATTTTTATTTCAGCTTGGGTCCATAGAGAGTTGCATTGTAATATCAGATGTAATGAATTAATGACTTCCAGCAAACGAGGTTCCAGTTTGGAAAGTTTACTGAACAGCCCATTTTAGAAGGCATTACAGGGCAGTGTTTTCTAAATGTTTTAAAGAAAACATCATTGTCGGGAAGGAGACACAGCATATGTGTTCAGTTAAGCATCTAAATCCAGTTGATTTCACTCAACAAAGTAACAAACAGTCTTTGAGAATCTGGCCCCTGGAACTTTAAGGTACCCGAGTTTTTGAGAATTAATGTTTGAACACCAGATTTAACGTGATTTTAGAATCCATATGCTTTAGACAACTTTCAAAAGTTTCAACTCTTAATTTTTCTAAGCCTCAGCTTCCATGAAGCAATACTGGGAATTCTCTTCTCCCACACTTTTTATGTCAGTTCACTGTAGGTGACTGACACTAAGAAGGCATACTAGTAAGCATGTGACAATGTCAGTGGTAGTGGGGTGCTGATGTTGCACAAATAGATACAACTTTTTGTATGGTCAAGAAATTAGACTCATTGGAGGTATAATGGTCTTAAACATTTGTACACTTAAAGGGGAAAAAAGAACAGAAAAGATGGAAAGGAAAAGAGGGAGAGGAATCAAAGTAGTCATTGACAAATAGCAGTCGGTATATTAATGGATTTATTTTTTAATTATATTTTTGCAGTCTTCAGCAGTGCCCACAGATTTAAGAACACATGATGATACACAGGCACATTAATTTTTAGAAGCAGTTGTGCAGATTTGACCTAGCTCTATATCTCCAGGAGAACCAGATTGTAGCAGAGGCCACAAAGAAACCACTTAGCACATCATTTTTACCACAGTACAGCATGAAGTAACTGACCATGGAGCACTCAATGGCAATTAAAACATTCCAATATGAAACATCCATAGATGGTTCAGTGCAAAAAGGGCAGGTATAAGCAAAGCCAGTGTTAAAAGACAGAGAGATGCTGGCAGCAATTACACCGTGGTCCTTTTCTTTCTTCTTCCCAGGAGGATCCATACAAGTTCAGAGGAGGTCTGAGCTTCTACCTAAAACTTCTCTGTAGTTTAATATATCTATATTAAACCCCAGAATATATACTAAACCCTACTCACTGATGGCCAGACTTGTTGGACAATTTCTGACCAGAAATTCCTTTTCTCAGAGAGGTGGTCAGTGGTATTCAGCCATGCAGATGTGCGTCCCTCCTGGACTAGCACTGGCCACCAAGAGATGTAAACTCCTGTGTCACACTTGTGCTTGGGACTAAAGTGGCTTTATATCTCCATAGTGAACGCCAATAATGACAGAGTTCACCACTGCCATTTGTTAAATGACATGTTCTCCACTCCACTGGCACAACTAGTCAGGAGTAGTGAAACATGTCTCTAGGCTGGAGACAAAAGACTCTCATCAGAGATGGTTCTAGACTTCAATCAGTGGGACGGTGCTGATTTGTTATTTCACATTTGTGTCATTGTGAGAGAGAAATTGGGTATCATCTGTCTTTAGGAAAGTCTATTTAAAGCTACAGTCATAATACAGGAGCACAAATCCATGAACGGGGGGAGGAGTTACTGAGGATGAAGATGAAATTCAGACATTGTGTGTCTGAGGGTATCACACAGTCAAATGTTTGAAATTTTGATCCCCAACTTAACAATTACAATCCTTAGATGCAGCATCAACCTACAGTAGATCTCTCCCTCGCCAAAGAATGAACAGTGCCCAGATAGCAAAATCCAAATAAATAAAAAAGCTTTCCATTCATAAAGCTGCATTCTCCCTGAACAGTGCTGCTCAGCTGTATGGTGGAAAGTGCTCCTGTTGGAGGGTGTGCCTACAACAGCATTTCAGTCAGAGTCAGGACTATACTCCTGAGTGAATTTCCTGGGCAAACCCACTTACCTTACTTTGTTTCACATTGTAGAGTGGTCTCAGAGCACAAAAATGGATCTCTTCTGGATGAAACTAAGTCAGAGGATGTGCTTATAAGGTGCTCCAACAGCTAGCAGGTATTCAGTGCATGGGACCACACTAGAAAACCCTCTGAAATACTTATAGTTTGGACAACAGCACTGATGGTTTCGCTCTACGCATCCTCCTCTGGTGGTCTGCTCCAGCAGACAGAGCTGTAGAGCACCCAGACTAGGGAGCTACTGTCTCAGAGATTGGAAAAAAAAAAATCTAACCAGGTGAAATTTCATCTTGTTATACTATAACGAGGAGGAGATGCCTTTCATCAGTCTTACCTCTACCTGGTAGAGCCTCACTCTTGCCGTGGACACAGAGGCAGAAATGTGATGCTCCAGACTGTTATAGAGGAGCAACATTACCACCTTCTCCAGTGAGTTCTTGCTCAAAGTTCAAACTGGTCTCATGCTGGCACCCTTAGACAATGAATCCACACCCTAAGGTAATAAATCAGTGTGCAGGATGCATCTCCTGTCAAAGTCACCCACCTAGTCCAAGCTCCATTTATAGGAGTGAGAGCACAATTTATGATGCACTGAATTGTCCACAACCGTTATATCCATTGTATTTTTGCTCCTGTGTCTGAAATCCCTGACAGCTGAACTTCAATTTTTCTCCATCATTTCTGATCAGGCATAATCTAAGAATATATCAGCATGGAAGTAATTCAGCTGAGCAGCCTCTGACACCAGGTAAGTGATGTTGATCTTTAATGCTGTTGTTCTCAATGATGTTAGCAACATTAATTCCAGCACTGACAGGCTCCCTCTGCAGTCTTGAAACTTTATTTTTGTTTAGCTGGATTGACAAAATGAGAAATAAACTGGAAATTCATCGGAAGGTCTCAAATAGTGCGTAGGCCTTGAGCAGTCCTCCAGTGTTGTGACAAATTTGATGCTGCATAACTCCACCATTTACACGTCCTTCTGCGCCCACCTACACATGGACGGCTGGTTCAAAGGTCACAGATGCTTTTTTTACTGTTGGGTGGTATGAAGTACATGCTATTTTCCTTTCAGGATGCAAAAATACAGATTGTATTAGATCTATTCTGCACTTCTACTGCATAATTCCTTTGCCCAGCAAAAGACCTGTTAAGAGATTAAGCTGTTAGCACAGTTAAAATGCAGATCAAACTCTGCTAACCTTCCACGGGGAAGTTGTTGGCTGTGCTGAAGTCAAGACAGATGGTCACTTCAGGAAATGTTTCTTTTATAGCAAGTGCTCATTTGAGTAGGAATATTTCTAGCTGGGTGAGTCACCTCTTTCTCGATTGCTGCATCAGATACCAAAAAGTGCTTTTTACACAGGGATATTCAAAGACATGGCAGAAGCTGAAAAATACATCTTCAAAGCATCTCGCAAGGGTTTCCTTTCCAGGGGGAGTATTATACAGCACGTGTAGATTGTTTAAAAAAAATAACCTCCACTGTTTTATTTTTACTGAAAACTGTGATGAAATGTTCTTTTTTTTCTTTTTTTTTCTTTACAAAATCACATGGTGCTGGATATAAAAAAAACAGTCCCACAGCAGCAAAATGCACAAAATCATAATAAATTTTTTCTGTTTAATGTAAAACTAAAAAACTTAGAGTAAAGTGCAAAAATTAGAGCGAACATTTCTGTTCTGTGGCTCTTCAGCAGCAGGTTTGACTCTTCCCTGGTTTAGAGGACGGGGACCATCATCTGCATGCTGGTTACCATGGAGACTCCCATCGCTTTTGGAATCACAAGTTTTGCCTGAAAGGAAACACTCCTGCAGTGTGAGTTTTTAATGACCATAGAGCTTTCTGTTTGTCAGCACATCATATACTAGATTAACTACCATGTCTAAGCAGGTGGGAGGGAAAGAAGTAAAATATTTTCTAGTAATTAGTGACAACATATTTAGTCTGTATAAAATCCACAAAACACACAAACAGAACTACAAGACTTGCTGCATTAGATTAGGCTGTTATGGCATCAAATCTGTTATCTCTCAGTATCAGCTACTTCAAAGGAGATAAACTTTGGTCACAGAACATGAGCATGGCAATAAATCCTTGTGACTCCTGCAGGAGACTGGCCTGAGGACTGAGGTCATTCTTTCTCAGGCTTGACTCAATAAGCTTCCCCATAACTACATGTTTTCTAGGAAAAGATGTGTACATGAACAATTGGGTCTGCCCATGAGAAGAGCTGTCTAACATTTATCTGTTCTATTTGCACTGCCAGAAGGGCTCTGGGGTTTTACAGCACTGTCAGCTTCTTTCTCCCTAGTGCTCAATTAACACCTGGGATTGCTCCAAAGGTGAAATTTGTTTGACCCTAAACAGTGTGCAGAAGGGTTAGTTTCACCAATGTGTATATGTTGGCATGAATTTCTGGCTTGAGTAACAACAATGGTTAATTCAGAAAAGGAATATAAAGAACCTGCAAGATTAAGCCTCAGTTACTTCCTAGTTCTGTTGTCTCTGAAATGGTAACTAAATAACTACCTGTTAAATCTGCAATTTTCCTTTGATTTCTTCTTTGGAGGCTGTTTTGGGCATCTGTGGGGCCATCAACATACTTCATTGCAATAGTTGGGGTCTGGTCCTTCTCTGGTTGAGTCTGAGTAACTGAAAGAAGAACAGAAAAGGGCATTTAATTGTGTTGTATTAACATTCATTTGTTCAAGGAGGAAAAGATATGTGGAGTTGATCTTACCTGGCTGATGAGAACTTGGTATTGTTTCAGTCCTGCCTTCTTGAAAAGATTGAACAGATTCATGGCCAGAATCTAAGTCTTTCATTGGCCTTCCCATAATCTCATTCTCAGTTGCAGTTTTATTTCTAATGAGGAAGTATGTGTGCATTTTCCCTTTGCCTTTTACTTCTATTTCTCCTCTCTCAGTAATCTCGAAATTCTTGTATTTTAGGCACCTATAGCATCAGAAACAAAATGACACATGAAAATTCAAGATTAGCAAAAATTACATTGATATTTTAAAAGAGCTAAGTAATGAAATCACAACAGTTTGGGGAAAACAGTCTTGATTTGTGAACAACTGAGGGTTTGTTTCAACTACTTAGTCAGACCTGCTGTGCTTTTATATTTTAACATATTCAACCTGATCAAAAATTAATGAATCACAAAGCCAAATACTTCAGTGGTGGAGGGTTCTTATTGACCAGTATATAGAAATTAAGGACTGAGGCAGCCAATATCAGCTAGACAGAATTATCTCCTGTCACTTCATCAGAGAAGGCAATCAGATCTGTCAAGCATGATCTACTTCTTTATTTTACGTAAAGACTTGCTATTCCCAATTGCCTTCTTCATGTGTCCAAAAATGGATTGAAGAGGACTTGATTTTCACTGGGACTGACATGAGGCTGATCATCTATAGTTTCACACCCTGTCCTCCTTGCCATTTTTCCATAGAGCTGTAACATCTGTCTTTCTTCAGTTGCCACAGTGCTGATAGTCTTGACCTTCCAAAGGTGACAGTCAGCAGCACTGCAGTGCCATCACCCAGCTCTCTCATCACCTCCCATCCCATCTGCTCCCATACATTTCCAAAGACTGAGATTTCTCAAAAGACCCCTGATCTGATCCTCTTCCAATATTGGTACTTCACCTACTCCTTGAACCCTGACTCCTGGTGCAGGGACCTTGAAGACCTCATCAGTGACTACTGAGGCAAGACAGGCCTTGAGTAACTCAGCCTTTCTTCAGGGCACTGTCTCTAAATCACCTGTCACAGCAGGTCCACATTTCCATTTATACTTCTCTGCTAACACAGCAGAAGCTCCCCTGACTGCCTTTGAACTTTTCTTGCCCATTTCAATGCTAGCTAAGCTCTCGCTTTCCCAATATCATTCCTGTGATATCCTGAGACAATGTTGTTGTACTCCTTTCTTTGCAGTTTGTCTTTGCTTCCCCCCCCTTGCATACAGATTTTACGCATACATAAAATTCTTGAAAATTTAATTTTTACTAACGTGAGTTTCAGGAAAGTAAATTACTCACAGCATGAAGAGGATAGTTGTTTATGCAGTTAATCCTTAGTAAGTGTAAATAAAACTATTTTGCTACAAATTATTGTGCTCAATTAGATAGATTTTAAAGCTTTTATTATTAAATGTTCTAAATGTTCTGTCTTTTTAGCATCTACATCACTTTATCAGGACTTCCAACTAAGCTATCACAATTATCTTTTTTAATATTTTGCTCTCTAGGATGGAGACTCTCAAATCTCTGTCTCCACATATAAGTACAACTGGAATAATCAGAACAAATAAAACTCTTTACAAACATTGATTTTCCTTTATAACCTGCTTAAATCAGTGACTAAGGCAGCACCATCTACACTGCAGCTGTCAAAGCAATGGTTTTTAGCACTGATTTTAACAGGTAAAGTTTCTGTCACAGTTACTCACTGATAGGCACTGGAGCTCAGATGTATTTTACTCGGGACACCGTGGCTCTCCATGCGGGAAGCAATATTCACTGTGTCTCCAAACAAGCAATAACGAGGCATCTTTTCTCCAACAACTCCAGCCAAGACAGGACCTGTATGGATCCCAACTCGAATCTTTACAAAGACATAAAACACCCCCCAAAAATGTCACTTGTTGTTTAACATCTTTCTTAATGCTATTCAGCCACCTAAAAGTTCATCTCAACACAACACTGGACACCAGTAAGATATCTAATTTCCACACGGAGAGGCTCCTCATGAAAAATGTACCCATGTGGGCCTCGTTCAAAGTCACAGAGGAGTCAGAAGCAGCTCTTTGAGGTCCTGCTGCAATACATTAACTAGAAGCCCAACCCAAAAAGCAGACAGACACACATGCATCATTGCATTAACGACTTACTTGGATAGGATTTCCAGAAACTGGGTTCTGTACTCCTTTAGCTGCAATTATCATCCCCAAGGCAAAATTAGCAACTCGCTCAGCGTGAGTGGGAACAGGCACAGGGACCCCACCTACCACCATATAGGCATCTCCAATTGTCTCCACCTTTAATTGAAAGGGACAAGCATGTGAGCATGCCATGTACATCTTGCTCAGGTTAGTGTTTTGCTGCTAGGGTCTGCACCAACTCCCCCTTCTCCTAAAAGTTGTTTCAATCACCAAAAAGCTTTAGCACAGGTGAGTTTCCTTGCGACAGAGATCCTCTCCTTCACTCCACACTAAAAATTTCATTGCATTGTGTCCCTGCTTACTCGACCCACTTTAGATATCAGTGAGAGAGACCCTAAGGAGTAAGGGTTGCTGTGCAAGTGTCAGACTGTTTGCCTTCCTCTTACCCAGGGCAGACCTATATACAAAGGGCTATCCCCAGGCACAGACTCCTGAGCCAGCAGGTTATCTGACAGATTAATGCTATTAATTAGCTCTAATTCACAATTGGTGCTGAAAGCATATCTCTTATTTAAGAGAGATTTGTTTTTTCAAAGTCACAATAAAGCAAGGGAGACTATTTGCTGATGATTAAGAGATTCACATGAACTTAAGGAACCTCCAAACTCCAGGACGTCAGAGAATGCAGTGTGAGCTAAGCAGTTTGGAAGCATCCTTCCTTACAACCAGCTGTTTTCCAACAACAGCTGCAGCCTGCAAGACAAATGTTGAAGGGTTCGCCCTCCTTCAGGCATCCAGTCTCCTTGAAGTGCATGACAAAGGACCTGAGAAACACTTCGGATTTTGTCCCTGTACCAGAATTTTTGCTGGGAGTAGGACAGGCCTGTTTGAAACACAGAATTCTCAAATGTTTAAAATTCGCTGCAGAAGACTGTTACACGGTAAGGAAATTTTTTAAACTGCTCTTACGAGACTTCACTGTCACATTTACCATCAGTAAACAAGAGAACTTTTAGATTAGACTAACTGGATTTCTTAAAAAAGAACATCAATAGGACAGTGGAAACATAATTTAATATTTGTGGTTGTTCATCAACCTAATGACTTAAAACTGTTCACTACATCAGTCTCAAAGAACGTGTTCCTCTCCATGCCTTCTATAAGATAGCCAAACCCACAGTAATTTTCTGTAACAAATTAAAAACAACTGTAAAAAGCTACTAATGCAAATAGATACCCTAATTATTTTTCAGTTGTAGTAGGAGATTTAATTTAAGAAGATTTATTCATAACTTCAGATGTTTATAAGCTTGGGCCAAGTTTCTTTAATCACTTTCACTATTCCATTCCTCAATTCCCTGTAATAGTAATCTTGTCTTCCCCCTCTGTACCCTAGTAACCTCCTTCAATATTAATAGGAGTTATATACAGGCATCAAAAGGAGATTATTATAGTGACAGATCATTTACTCATGATGGATGATTTAGACAGAATACGATGCTAATTTATCCTCAAATCTGTGGGCCATATCCTGGATGCTTCAATTATTGAATACAATTTCCTTGCCGAAGCAGAAATGCCTCTGATTTCCCAGTACAATTTATGGTGGGATGAACTGCGTGCCTTGCCTGAACAAGGAATGAATTAGATTTGGATTTCACCCTTTACTATTTCTGCCTTCCTAAATATTTAATGTACTTGGGACAGACAGAAACTTAGGATCTGCTCTTCAGCTCATCAAATCTGGGTAATTCTGGAGATGTTAATAACACTGATAATTTAGGTCAACCAGGGCTCTGATCCTTCCAGCATGGTTTGGAGACCACAGGTGTATTATAGTCTAGATCTAGTTGGTGCTCTTTAGGGTCAGCAGGAGATCAATACCACTGCTGAAGTTCTCTATGAAATTAAAAAAAAAAAAGGTCTAGGTATTATCTGGGTATTGTTTATAATGTTATATGTCTCCACCAAAGGAGACACTTAATGACATAGTGACCTATTTACAACAGGTTGGAATAAAGGAACTAGGAAAATTATTCAAATTAGTCCATAAACCAGGATAATCCTGTCATGTTGGATAGGCATTTGAGAAAGGTGAGAGAGAGAGAGGTATGAAAGAACAGCCATTCTGATATAACTGTTGTGGAAAGAGATTTTAGACCATGACAGACCTTACATTCCTGTCCAAAAAATTTAAACATAATTAATCATCTGGTTTTTAGTTTGTGTGGCCACTACAAATAGGCAGTATTTTATGGTTTATAAAAAAATCATGCCAGGGTGAAGAGGACTTAATTGCATTTAAAAACAAAAAACCAAAACAACAACAAATTTTTTTCCCAGACTATTTCTACAGCCTTTATCAGTCAGTACATACCTTGTACACGTCATGCACTGTGGTCAGTCTGTCAAATCGCAGGTACATTGAATTTAACATGAGAACTATCTGAATAGGCTCACATTGGGCACAGATGTTGGTAAAGGTCACAACATCACTGAACAATATAGTGCACTCCTGGAACTCTCCTGTGAGCAGAAAGACCAGTGGTAAGTACTTGTAATGGCTTGACAACCACAACATCTGTTTGAGACTTGTTTGCAACCGTCATTTTAAGACATGACCTATCAGTTGTAATACTCATACAAGTGTTCTGAGATGGAGAAACGTTGATATAAGAGTAAATCAAATATAAGAATCATTACACACCTCAAACAATCCAGGCATTTGAATATATCGCACACAGGATATACTTAGCTCTTTACCTCTAGCTCCCTGTATGTGCTTACTAAAGGGAATTTAGGCATATTCTTGCTATCCTTAATAACAATGGGAATCATTATGATTCTGTGCTTATAGATAACATGGGGGAACTTAGAGAATTTTCTAGGAAAGACCAATTTCTTTATTCCTTTCATTTCTGAGCCCTCGTTTCCCTGTATATCCATGTTAAAACCAAAATCTTGGATTACTGTTGAAACACTGAATTTTGTTCACTGAATGGGCAGCTGCTATCACCTTTCACCTCCTAAGGAAAAAATCTGGCAAATAGTTTCCAAAGCTTTATTTGAATAAATAGTCTACTTTTTCATTATCAGCAAGATTAAGGATCTGTGGTCCTCCTTCTACCTATGAATGTCATCAAGTAGAGAATGTGCTCCACAGCAGTGGCAAAGGGGCTGTGCCAGTGTCTCTGTCACCATCTCCTGATCCATGAATTATACACCACAAATGCATCCTGTTCATTCACCTGCCTCAACTCGCTTCCCCTCTTTCAGCTGGTTGGCCACGTGCTGGGGAAGCATAGCATAGAGCAGAGCTTCAGTCTTCTTCTTCTCTTCCTCCAAGTGCTTTGACAGTATCCGCAGTTCCTCCTTCTTCCTCTCCAGCTGGTTAGAGAGCTCCATCTCTGCCAGCCGCTGCTGATTGAGAAGAATCAAATCCCTGGTCACATCGTGAGGTGCAATGTCTGCAATGTGCATCTGTCGCTCCTCCAGCTCGTGCAAAGTGCGAAGCAAAGGCGAGCAGAGGTAGAGCATGCACTGCAGGGACTCCATCCACATCATCTGCCCTGGTGGAGACAAGCCATGGTAAGAGCTTTCAGCAGCATGGACTGTCACGTGACACTCAGCATTACTGGTGTTAATTTTAGGGGATGAGTTCTAAGGACAGTGGGGTTTTGTAGGGTCTGGATCACCACAGGAACTTGTTTCCTGGAATTAGAGGTGGACTTGTTCAGGAGCTACACTACACAAGCAACAAAATGTCAGGACCCAGGAAGCAGTCACTCCCTCATTGTCACTGCTAGGCAGAGTCCAACCATGCTCCAGGTCCCTCCTCTTCATGGGGAACCCCAGTGTTCACATTTCTCCTCTCCCTCTGCTCTGCTCTCCTCTCCTCCTAGTTCTTGAGCTGTTGCTGAAGCCAGTCAGTCGGAATCACGCACAGGGGAACTGAGACTCACAGTGACTAAGTGAAACATCTGAAATTTAATCTCATGGTGGGTAGCTTGTGCCCCAGTTAAGTCAATGGCACTTTCCTTGCTGGAAATAAGCAGTTACAAAAACGCCTGAAATATAGAAGGGATTTTTGGTGGGGGATTGAGTTTTTGTAGGAGTTTCTTTGTTGAGATTTGATTATGATTTTGATTTTGAAATATTTTTATTATTATTATTATTATTATTATTATTATTATTATTATTATTCTTTACTTGTTTCACAAGTATCATTGGTTTCTGAACAGCAATCTAGGAATTCCTATATCTTTCTTTCTCTCTCATCTCATCCCCAGGGCAACTGGATGAACAGCTTGAAAACTAAGAGGATTGAAACATCAGAGATACCATGTGAATTAATCCCCTACAGCATAAGAGAAAGTACAATTGTGTCCAGTTAAAAGTTCCTTGTTTTGGTAGCATCAGTTTTTCAAGGTCTCCCTAAACTCTTAATTTTTTTTTCTGACTCTCAGGAATACCAGATTTGACACTTATTATGTAAAGGTGAAAGGAGATAAGGGAAAATTAGGACATATTACATAGTTCAGAGAAGCAAAATTGAGGTCACAGAACACTTAAACCAAATGTCATTATAGTTAATTACATGAAGCAGAGGATCATTCCATACTCAGTCCTCGCAGCAAAAATAAAGCAAATACATTATCTTTTTTGCTAAGATAATTTTAACCAGTAAATTCTTACATGACATTGGGGGTGTGTGTGAAGACAGAAATCGGAATCTGAAAATGTGACTACAAAAAATAAAAGCACAGCTAACTAATCTATTTTTGTCCACATTTGAAACCCAGCCAGTAGCAAATAACTCCTCTCAAAGGCATAAATTAAGAACTAATCATGTATTCACATGTGGGGTTTGCAGCATTAGAAAAACACCATATTTCTAAGCCTTTCAAATGGGAGCAGAGTGGTTGTTTCTGACCGAAAGCCTTAAAAATCTGATGAGGTAATAGCAGAATTTGTCTACAAGCATCTACTGTTTCTCTAAACAGAATCATCTAATCTCCTCACTGCCCAAAGGCTATTTATAGGACTTATGTGAGGTCAGGAGTACACAGAAAGACATCAGTTCAACTCAGCATAATTCCTGATTTAATATGAACACTTATGCATTGACAACAGCAAAGTACCTCTCAGCTCTAGCATTGGCCGTTGTTTCCATGACTCTGGCATCATCTCTCTTCTAGTTTGGAAAACAAATTGACTGTTGATGAATTTCTGAATGCTGGAGATGGTGAAGGGCACTTCCGGGTGAACGATCCTGAAGTACTGATCCAAGGAGATGCCCATGGTCTGAACGCCAGGTACAATCTTTTGAATGCTCACCCCAGCTTGCTTCACTCTGAGCTTAAAAAGCAAGTATGGACCATGTGTTATAATTCATGTCTTGTTGGGTTCAGACCAAGCTGCAGCCTATCACTGTTTATACATGTGCACACACTTAGCCTTGCTATAGCACATGGCTTGTTTCTGAGCTAAGTTTCTACCTTGTTAGTGTATTACTACAAATGAATGAATGTCCTTTATAGCAAGACACCAAAACACCTTGGCAAATATTAATCTTCTAATGGATGCCACGGGCTACTTTCTCTTAACCATTGGTGTGTAAAGGTTTAGTTATTCTCTTTTAGCCTGCTGACCATACATGAGCTCTTAATTTCTGCAGAAATGTCCTGCACTGCTTGTCAGCAGTTATTGAAGCTCTGACCTAGCTACCAATAACAGGTGTAGGACTTTCTGTCTTTGCACATTAGTAATTTTATTTAAATTATGCAGACCAGACATCTTGAAAGGTTTAAGAATCTGAATTTTGTCTAATGTGGGCAGTAGCAGGAAGCAGATTATGTGCTCTGGAATCTCTATCAGCATGATGCCAAAACATGTTCCCAGAGAGGCTGTATTCTGCTTTCTTCTGCTGTCCTATCCTCACCTTCTCCTCTCTTTGCTTCTGTCTGAAGCAAATATTCTCTCCACAGAGTTGGGAGCAAGAGGAACTGTAGCTTGGTGGGAACCTGAGCTAATTGGAAACCTGCCACAGGAAGCCCTGCCAAGGGGTGGCACAGTATGTGTGCCCAGGAGAGGAGACTCAATCTTCCCTCAGCAGGTAAAGGGATTTTTGGGTTCTAGATGAGGTTGCACACCGCTCGACTTAGTAGGTAGCTGGTTTTTCCCAGTATTTGGTAACAGACAGACTGCTGCAATAAACCTTGCTGACATATCTGTAGCTGTTTTAGACATGGTAAACTCAGTAAAGCCAAAGGAGATTCCTATCTGAAATGATCCAGATCCAGTTGTTATGCTTATTGCATGTCTCTGTACAGAGCACTTCTGCAAATCTTACAAATGAGTGTATGCTGCACGCAGAGCACACACAGCAGTGCACTCTAGGACAGTCAGAACAGAGGGAAATTACTATTTGGCTTATGCAAACTAAAGGCCTTTATCACATGCTTGTCCTACCTCTTTGTCAAAAACCATATGGAAAGGAAGTCCATTGCAAAATGTTTTTGTGTCAATCCAGAGGCTCTTGGGATAAACAGGATCAAATCCTCTCAGGAGCTTACCTGTGACAAGATAAATGTGTATTTTTTAAATCAGGCTACACTGCTTTACTTTTTGGAGCTCAGTGAGACAGGCCCCGATATCATAACGAGTGAAGACAAAGCAAACAGCATGTGGGGCCAGAAATGTACACACATCTGTGCTAAATGCTCTGCAGTTCAATCCACAGCTGATTAGCAACTAATTTGAATTGGCTAAGAGTTTAAAACTTAACCACACAAAAAGCACAGAGCACTAGATGCATCAAATCATGTAGAAAAAATAAGAGTAGATGAACAACTGTAAATGTTGCTGCTCTATGAGTTTACAGATGCCGTAGCAATATAACACAGCTATATCTCACAAAAATGTGCATGGAAATGGACTTAATACACTTTGCTAGCTACTAAGGAACACTTACAGAGAAAAAACCCAGCATAATCTGGGTTTTAGTCTCCCATACAATGAGCTCCAGTCCACAGCACAGAGACCAAATAACTGTTTGGTTTCTATTTTACTTACCCTGAGATTTTTTTCAAAATGGTCACAAATCTACAGAGTAGGTTGTGTTTACTAGGAGATACTTTTGCAAAAGGAATACAATGGGTAAAATAACCAAATGGGTCCATCTTTTGAATGAAGGACCAAAACCTTTGAACTTCACAGCATAAACTTGGATTCTCCAGTAATCCACAATAATCAACAGGATGATTATTTCAAGTGCTCTCTTTCCCCCAGAAGGTGGCTATGACAGCTACTCTAGTAAATTCTGCTGAAAATAATTCTCAAGTTATTCAGGAGACTGGTGCAAAATATTACAAATTTAGAACCCAGGGTTTAGACGTCTTACTGCTTCAGGGGAAGTCAATGTGAGTTTTTCATTTATCAAAGTCTGCCTCTTGATAACTCTCACATTTATAGCTAAAGAACTTTTTTTTTTTTAGTAATAATGCTATTCTAAAATTTTATTTTAAATATATATTAATTTCTTACTCAATATATCTGCCCTTGTAATGCATGTGACACTGCACCAGATGATACCAGGTTCAATTTTTCACTCCTCCCAGAATCTAGACAGCTTGGCAATACTGAGCTGGATTCTCACTCCTCCTGGGGAATCAGAAGATCCTAACTGAAAAAATCCTTTCCCTTTATAAACATATATAAACATCTAGTATATAAAGGTATGAACAGAAATTACTGGATTAGCAGTAGATTTTTGGTAGGAGGAAGTAACTTGGCTTTCAGAATTTACTACAGTTGATAACTTTGGAAAGGAGTAGCATCTACCACGTTAAAAACATGCTTTTAAATTCATCATCTTTAAATCAAGTGACATGAAAAGGAAGAATCAAATGCACCACACAATGACATTTTATAGAAGAATACTTTTTAGATGAAAGCCCTGTTTAAGAGACAAGAGTGACAGTCATATTCCATTTAAGTATCTGTCATTACTAAGCATGCTTATTATCTTCAATTTTCCTGTGATTATCAATGTCTAACAGAAAGAAACGTAACCAGAAACATTTTGAAAATTCACAGAGGAAATATAAATGGTAACTTCCAAGTGGATGGGTGGTTGGGGATAGGGAGGCTTACTGACTTTCTTACTGAAGAGACTCAGAAATGATGACAAGTTCCCTCTGAACAATTTCTCACCTTTCCCTAATGCGATTATTCCTCTTAATGTTTTCCAGTGACTTTTCTTAACAGGACAGACAGAGTTTCCTCTGTCTCCCACTGTATTCTTGACTTTTTCAAAGTCCTGTTGAAATAAATACAAAGGGAAATTAAATTTTTATTTTAAATATATTTTAACAATATATTGATAATGAACATTAAAATACCTCTTTATGCAGTTGGCTCTCACTTTGTTTTTCGGAGTCAGCAAGACATTGAGATGAGGAAGAAAATTCATTTCTTTCCTTGCGTGGAAATACAGGGTTTTGAGTGACAAGAAAAACAATATGTTCTTTTTTCCCAGTTCTTTCCTCTTCTTCTGTTTGATTGACTATTTTCATTGAAATCTCAATGTTAAAAAAATCCAGGGCTGCTGCACCAATGATTCCTGAAGGGGAAACAAAAGACAAGGTATTGCCAAGAACAAACCCTATTCATTTTCCCTTTCAGGGGGTCCATGGTGGAATTTCACTGTATCAGAAATCACTTTTCGAAAGGACTATGGAAGAAGAAAGCAATGTATGTCGTTCTTACTATCGCCACCATGATGAGGATACGCACACAGGAGGTAAGCTTTAAAGTTACTGTATCTTTGCCTTGTCTGAGGACAAATGCTTATTTTCAGGAGAAGCAGCTCAGCAGGATATCTGAAGAATGTGTTCAAGTAGACATAGAGCAATAATAGAAATTCCCATTAACCCAAAAAGTGCAGGGGGTCTGGAGAGATTCTTCTATACAATCTATTTCAGTCATTGCAGAATATTTTATTTTGAAAGGAAGGAAATGTCTTTCATGCAGATGTACAATCAGTTCTCTCATTTCTGCCTAAGTATTAGGCAAAATACTGGACAATGACATCAAAAGCTCTGTTTGAAATTCCAGATAGTTCTGTGCTTTCAATATGAAACAAGTTTTGATAAAGGGGGAAGTTGTGATAAACTTTTAAATTCAGCATCATCTGTGAAAGAAAGGAATATGATGACCTCTTACAGATCTATAGCTGTTTAACCCTTGCACAAGTACAACTGTGGAGATTCCTGTAATGCTGGTAGAAGATTCAGTTTTGAGCAGGGTTCAGTAGTAGTTTTACAGATTGCACATCCTACAGGGTGGATGAATGTCTTCAAATCAACTGTAATTTCTGTAATTTCTTCACTGTAATTTAAGGACCATGAGTCACTGAGAACTAATAAACAGTTAGACACAATACACACCATGAACTTTAATTTTTCTTCCAGGAAGGGAATTCTGCAGCAGGAATGGACACTCATGGCCTGGGTTGTCATGTCATAAATTTTGATGGAAGCTACTGGGAGCTAGGAGAGATCAGGCAGTAGGGAAGTACTGAGTTCAGGTGTCTGGAGACTAAACTCTACTGGACTTCAATTTCATGGCCTGTCCTTATCTCAAAACAGACTCTGAAATCTGAGCAAAGTGTATCTGCAAATATATGATTACTCTGTACATATAGTGCACTACCAGCTGATCTGTACGCTGAATTTTGTCTCGTTACCTGGTACAATATGGCACAGACCTCTTCTGTCTGAATAGTAGTGTAAATGCATTGACCCATCTTCATTCTTTTCTACTCTAAAAGATGGTGCATTCATTTCCTGAGGAAAAAAACAAATAAAACCAAAGCCTCAGCATCTTTTTCTGATAAAGAATACTGATGCATTCCACTTGTACAAAAGTATTCATGTCTTAATAATATGAATAAGCTGAAAAACAGAGAATTAAATATTCCCACCTGTGAAGGAAAATCTGCTGTGCATTAGAGGCAATGTACTAAATAATACCTAACATTGAGGACTACTCAAAAAAACAAGCACTTTTAAAAATTGCCCTAACATTTTGGAGCAATCTGTTTCAGAAGACAGGAGAGCATGTTACAGTGTGTTTTTTCATTATTCATTCACACCTCTGAGACGCTGTTCCTTGTGCTATGAACTCTGGCAGAGTCCATTCATACCTGCTCAGCAATTACTACTTGGACTTGCCTGGTAAGAAAGGGACAGGTAGCTGTGCAATGCATCCAGGTTCTCTATGAACTCGTAGAGATTTCCACCCAGTGTCCTCAGCATGTGGTCATAGCCTGAGCGCTTACAGAATTCAAAGAAATACTTTCCAAACTCTCTCAGAACCAAATCAGCAGGAACACCTGGCAAAACAAAGATACCTAATAAGAAAGGCTTGGAAATGCTGTCAGGTGGACTAAGAGCGAAGGCAGAATATTTGCAACGTAGGGAGGGCATTCCAAAGGGCACAGGAGACTAAACCTGGGCTGCAGTGTCAGGCCTGAGCCAGGACAGTTTGTTTTTGCAGCATGGTGACACATACCTAATACTTTGCAGGCTTTGTCGACAAGCTGCATTGTGATCTCATCTTTGTAAACCTCAAAAGTCAAGAAAGAATCCTGGACTCCAGCCTGCAGTCTACAACAGAGAAGACAATAGTCCTGCCTCAGCAGTGCTGTAAATACAACATGCTTGGGTGACCCAACTGGCATTTGTTAAGCACTGTTTACTGTGAACACTCCTTAATCTCCTTCAAGTGTTATAGTGGAACACACTACTGCCCATAATGATGTAAGATTAAATTGCTTTAAATTAATTAAATTGCTTTAAAATGGCTGAATGGTGGTGTTCACCCCTCCATTTCTGCTATTTTATGTTATGGTGTAGCAGTAAACTCTTTCAAGGATTCAGGAATCGTACTGTGGGGTACTTGAGCAACCAGAGTCTTAGTTTGTCTTCTGTTCAGCTCCACAAAGTGTCTGGTGTATTTTTTTTTTAATATTAGCTTCAAAGATTAATATATGTATGTATTTAAGTATCATTTATATGTCTTTATATATTGGAAAATACCATATAGTTCATAAAGTAAAGGCAAAAGCAGAAGTGGACAGGTTGGATGGGCTTTGAGCAACCTGGTCTAGTGGATGCTTCCCTGTCCGTGGTGGGGAGGTTGGAACAAGATGATCTGTGATTCTATGATTTCGCTGTGTTTCTGAAAGTACTGGAATTAAACTGACTTTATATCAAGGATGACATCTTTTCAGTGTAATTACTTCTCAATATTGTCACAGTGAGCTAGTGAGTCTATTGCACGATTGTCTATAAGAGTAAATGTCATCTTTAATTATCTGATATGACAAATTAATTGGGACAAATTAGTATCAGAGTATGAAGTGTTACAAGGCAAGAAACTCTTGCTTTTGCCCTGCTAGTTACTTCTAATAATTACTTGAGATACACATCAGCTGCCATTTACATATGGGAAATTATAATCCCCTGATGCTGAATTCCTAAGTGTTTTCTTTCAATGCACTACAATTATTGGGAACACATTACCTTAATTTTTCCCATGTTTCTTCACCATACTTTTCAACCACCAAAGACTTCAGGCATGTGTTTATAAATCCATACTGTAAACACAAACACATGAAATGGAAAATACATACTGATTTTTTAAATGCTTCCCCAATGTGCCACCTATTCCAGATTCCACCGCTAATTTCATATTGCAAAACATAAAGTAATAATGTTTGACAGCCATTATATCTTTCAGTAAACAGCACAGCCTTTACCTCAGCATTTCACAAGCATTCACCAAAACAGAGCCAACAGTCCATCCTGTTTTGCGGAGAAGGACCCGGGGGCTCCCGCAGGTCAGTGATGCGCTGTGCCGTGGATGCAGCCCGAGGAGGGCACAGCAGCCACGCACGGCTGCCGCACCCGCGGGCGAGGTGGCTGTGCCCTGGCTGCTGTTCTGCGTTAGCAGAGACAGACCCCGCGCTGGAGATGGCGGGGAAATGCTGAAATATCCCCGACTAGCCCTGTCAGCGCAGCAGCAGCCCAAGGGTGATGTGCTCCGAATCCCCCGAGGTCCGCTGGTCAGCAGCACCCTGCCCGCGGCAGCGGGCGCTCAGCCAGCGGCAGCGACGGACAGAGGCTGCCCGTCTGTCTGTCTGTCCATCCGCAGCAGGAGCTGCCTGTCTGTCTTTCCATGCCCGGCATTAGCTGCCTGTCTGACTGTCTTGTCTATCCCCGGCCGGAGCTGACGGTCCCCAACAGGAGCTGCCTGTCTGTCTGTCTGTCCCCGGCAGGCGCTGTCTGTCCGCCCCGGCTCGCCCGCCGCCCCCCGGCCCCGCTCACCATCCTTTCGCCGCCGCGGCCCCTCCGCCGCCGGTCCGTTCTCGCCGCCGCTGCCGGTCCGGGGGGGTGGCCCGGCCAGGCCCGGCCCCGCCGCGCTCACCGGGGCGGTGACACCCGCTGGCCGCGGGCACAGACGCGCCGCCGGCGCTCGGAGCGCCCCGGTTGGTGCGGTGCCGGGTGCCCCCCGCACCCCCCACGGGTCTGACTGTTTTCCCGCAGAAAACGCGCGGTTTCCGCAGCTGCCGGTGTGTCAGGAATTTCGGGCGCTGCCAAGAAGCATCCCGATGCCGTGGCATCGCCGGCACGACGGCAGGTCACGGCTGTTCCCCCATCCCGGTTCCCGCTGCTGGAGGATGCAGCGCGCCCTGCCAGGATGTGGTGCGACCAGACCCGGCTGGATCACCGGATCCCAACCTCCTGAAACCCCGCTGGGGCAAGGAGCCGGGAGAGTAAAAGGAACAGAGAAGGTTTCTTGCCAAGGCTTTCTTAGGACTGCTCTAGCAGAGCAGGAGCAGCAATGGGGGAGGCAATAGGCACCGTTGCCCAAGGACAGGAGGCTTGTAGAAAGAAGCAGAATCTTCCATTTGACTCAGCCTTGCGTTGCTAGTTGCTACCGTAGGCCTGACAAGGAGCAGGACATGAAGCTCTCTGCATGCGACTGCCAGCATCCAGGCTGTGTCTGCAGCTGCCCAGCCTGCCCAAGAGGAAAGGACAGCATCAGGGATGTTAAAAGAACACAGTGATTGGTGTTAGGTGCAATGAATTCATGGGGTTTAGTGCTTGGCAGAGTTACCTCATTTCCTAGGTTTATTTTTGGAAGAATTGTTTGTAGGTCACCTTTGAGAGTGAGTCCTGAGAGGACAACTATTTGGGGAAAAACCCTCTCCCCTTGATAAAGATGAGCTTCTGTCCTCTGTCAGCCAGACTGGGACAGGCATCCCTGTGGGTGGTGGAAGCCCTGTGTCACCCACCTCGTCTGCTGTTTGGTGCAGTGGCTGTGGGACACTACAGGGGACTGTGTACTGAGCTAGGGCTCTGTGCCAGTCTGGCAGGGAAGGTTTTTCTCTTGGTGTGGTGATTCCAAGGCATTGTGCTCATGGCTCTGTCTGTGATTGCTCAGTCCTCCAGTGCTGTACATGTTCAGCAGGGACATCAAAAACCTGAGTCTAAGTCCTACACCAGGCACGGGTGCTGCTTTTTTAGTGATCACAGCCCTTCCACCAGTCCTGTGCTGTCCCTGCCATCCCACAGCCTCCGCTACACTCCTCTCACTTTTTCTGTCCCACACACATTGGTGACTCTCCTGTGACCTCACAGATAATAAACCTCTTCTCAAAAGCTGTCTCTTTAGCCAAAACCTGGTTGCAGCCAGGCCTAGGGAAGAGAACTAACAGAAGTCTGTGCCCTGCTGTATTCCCACAGCTGTGTGTAGAGGACTAGTTTAGCACAGAAACATATACGCAAATCCCTCTGTATTTCCTGGACAATATCAAATATTTATTTAAACATACACCTGTTGGAGCTAGCATTGGCCAGCACAACAGCTGACCTATCTCCTGGTTTTCTGTCCCTACAGTGGTTCTAAGGAGCACCCACATGTGCTGCAGAGCAAGAGGTGGTCCTGGACCCACAGTCCCATCTCCATCGCTCACTTGGCTGGCAGTACCTAAGGGGAATAAACACCACATCATCTAAGAATCCTATGGGTATGCTTATTGCCTCAATGTAGAAATTAATTTCTCTTATACATAAATAAAATATGAGTCACTGGAGGGATTTGCAATTACAGTAAGAACTTTACTATCTTCTCTTCTAGTACTTTAGTATTTTTCTAGTACTTTTCTTTTTCTTATTGTATGCATGACACCTAAATAAGCAATCCAGTGATTTTAATAACAAAGATTAGCTGCTATCAGAAAGGTTTGGAGATGCAATTCAGATAAGCTATCCAAAATGTACATTGGTACCTGTAAGCTATATCTATATTGTAATTCATACTGGAATTGAATTTATTATTGGTTTTGCCCTTCTTTGCTAAGTGAATTGTCTTTTCAGGTCTGTTTGTCATTATGAGACAAATTTGGATAAAGAATCTTTGAGCAAGGATTGTTAGTGTGCATCATGAGGCTGCTCACTCTTCATAGTCCATGGTCCTTCATGTGCCCTTGGCTACCTCTGTCATCTCTAGGTGGATAACAGAAGTCTTCCAAGTAAAAGAACAGAAAGCAAGAGAGAAAAAAAATCATAATACACTTCTGGTGTGACTCTTTAAAAATTCTTTATTCCTTTGGCACAATGGAATACTTCCTAGAATTTTCAGATCAGCAGCTATGTCTGTGTATAATTACCAGTCTTTAACCAAAGACAGAAGACCCAACATGTTCCTGTATCTCAGCCCACTCTGTGTAAAATGAAGACAACAATCCTCCCCTTTCCAGTCTGTTGCTGTGCTCTGGTGATGATGTTCGTGGTCTCCCTTGGTGCAGTGCATTCACATCTCCCAGACTATACTGGACCTTGTTGCAGTCATCTGGCATTGACACAAATTGCCACCTACTGCAGCAGAGCAGGTATATTTGGGTATGTAAAGGAGAGGTTGGAGCAGGATGGCTTTAGTTTCAGAGGGTTTCTTGCTTCCCAAGGCATATGGGGTGAATGGGAATAGGTTCAGAGAGAACTGTGTGCTGGAATTCCTCTGGTCCCTCTCCTCTTGTGAGGGCACATGATACCTTCAGGTGTAGTATGGCTGAAAAGTCCTCCATGGGCTTCACCTGCACATAGCCTATCCTTCCTCCCATAACCCACTCAGCATTCAGTGCTTAGGAGGGATGTCCAAACAGCAGGCTAAGGACTGTGCTGCTGTAAAATTCTGCAAACTTCCTGGCAGTTTGTGAGCAAGCTGCCTTATATTTTTCTGCCTTTGTGGCAAAAGATTCATTAATTTGGAAAGGTAGTGCTGTGGCCTTGCAAAAAAGATACTCATCCATACCTGACAATTAATTATATCAAGATCCCATTTCCCCTGGCCTTTTGTTGTGCTTGTACCCAGTTCTAAACAGCATCCTTGAGCTCTGGGTAGTTCAGCAAAATAAATGGGCCATCTGCAAAACTGTATACACTGCTTTTTCAATTAGATGAGAAGTGAAAATATGCAATATAGCAATTTATAGCTTCTGGTTACAGCCTTGGAGAATGCAGTCATAGACCGTCATGGTCTGTCTATGCAAGGCCATCCTCCTTTTTCTTCTGTTTCTCTGTTGTGTGATCATTATCAACAATGCAAAGCCATATGTTAGTTACCATGGTGGAGGGGCTGCTCCCACAACCGTCTGAGCAGAGCACATTCTAAACATTGCAGTCTGGAGCCCAAAATACCACAGCAGTAACAGAATCCTTTCTCCAAGTGGTTGCCAGCACTCTCTCCTACAGAAGACCCCTAAGGACGCAGGCCTTTTCAGCATACTTCCTTCAAACAGAGCCTTACATCCGTTGTTCAGATATCATGTGTTCACATTTGTCTTGAATTAACCTGCACAGTGACTTTTTAGAGACTCAAAGCGAAAAAGAATCTGTCCTTCCACCAATAGGAACCAAAAAGGAAGTTTTATATATATATATATGTGTATTGGTAGGCTTCCAGTACTTCACGCTACCAAACCATGAAGACAGCTGATGCAGAGCCTAGATTAGGATTAAAAATAAACACAGGAGATGTTCTGCCCTGCATAGTTTGGATGGCTCCAATTTTCAAAATACATATTTAAAACCCCCAACAGTTATATTTGAATTCTTATTAAAGACCCTGGGCGAAATTTAAATAACATTAATGTAGACTAAACAGCAGTGAAACTGTGCTAGTACAGGCTTTACCCTCAAGAAAGCTTTCAAAATCCCAGCTCCTCTGCTTATCTGTTAAGCCGAGCTGGAGATGGGAGGCCAGGTCAATAATATTTAAATTGTTTTTGCCGAACTGACGGGAAAAGTCACCAGCTCAGGTCCAAAACCTATTCACAGCACACTGATGGGGATGGAACTGAAGAAGTGAAGGATTTGCTCTGAGAGCTGGATAGTCTTTGGCATCATTCCCTCTCCCTCGCCTTTCCACGTGTGCTGCCATGGAGCTCTATTCTCCCATTGTGTGATCCGCCCTGATGCTTCCCTTCCCAGGCATTCCTCCAAGCTGGGGGGAGTCAGGGCTGCAGCCATGAAAATATGTCTCGTGCAAACGAAAAACTGGCCCTGGAGGTATATTCGCATGAAACTTTCTGGTTAAAGTCTTGATGCGTGTTCCTCTGGGTATTTTCTTCAGCTTGCCTCTTGTATTGCTACTTATTTTCAGGAGCTAGCATCCAATATCTTTGCTTTCTACACAGAAAATTGCTCATTACTTGTATTTTCGCCCTCTGATTGCTAGTTAATGAAATTTGTTCCAGCTTTAACATCATTGCCATGAGCTACAAAGAATCATTTGTCTCAGCTGCCTGGGGCCAGGCTCGTTTCTGCTGCAGCTCACAGACGGCATAGTTATCCAGGAGACTGCAAGAATGCAATCAAGAATAATGCAAAAATGGGTAAAAGCCAAGGCTCATCAATCTTTGGTGCTATGCTATGGCATCTGTATTGTACTCCGAGCCATGTAGCTTGAACACATTAGCATATGGAGCTGTTTGGTCACTTTCTGGCATCTTGTTCCTTTGGAAAAGTAACTGCAAATGTTAAGGTGTTTGTGTCAAGTGAAGAAATAGCATAGTACCAGCCTGTGCAGGCCATGCTGTTAAACAAGGTGGTATCTGAGTGTCTGTGGTGTATTTCCCTTCCATCCCAGCAGCATCCCTCCCCTGTGCTTTAAAGAGAGGGCCTTACCCATAATATTCATGTCACCTATCATCTGCTCTGCAACTTAGAAAACTCGAAGGGCCCAGTTCAAGAACCCAAAGCAATTTAGCAGCACATCCCTGATAATGTCAAAGTAACAAATGGTAAATGCTGTCTCTAGCTTTATTTGGCTTTTGTATTGTGAGATGTTGCTCCTTTAGTTTTGGAAATGATAATCCAGCTATTCTCCATCACTTTATATTAAATATCTGGTGGAGTGCTTAAGAGGTGGACCCAGGTTTCCTGTGGCCACAGGTATTAAGACCTGTAACTGTTAAATTGCAAATCTTATTAAATATGTTGATGGTTTTACTTTACTTTATGCCCCAGCCTCTATCACATCCAGCCTTGTTCCAATCAAACAGCTCTGTCTTCCAGTAGCTTTCTCCTTGGCTACCCTTTCCCACCAAACCACCTACCACCGATGCTCTGTTGGTGCTTCAGATGTTACATTCAGCTTCCTTGTTGCTTTTACTCCTCCAAGTAATATTTTGGAATAGTTCTAATTATACAGCATGTTCAGATTTCACACACTATTATTAGCAAATACATGTTTACTCTGGCTTTCCTCGTTTCAGCTGAATCTGTGAGCTATATCCCATGTAATAACTTTGACTGAAAAATACTTGGATCCATTCTGTGCAAAGGTGAAGTTTAATATCCTTTTTTGTCATTAGGGACAAAGTCTTCTACACCTTTAGGTCTGAGTTTTCAGAGGACTACAGCTCCCATGATCCCCAAGAAGAACTGGACCTGAGCTTCAACAGCGATGCACTTTGGGAAGAGGAGGAAGTATACAAAATAATTTCCCTTGCTTAAGCAAGAGAAGTAAAGTTTTGAAGGTAAATAGGGAATCCTAAATAGGGAGTAGTAAACTCTGCTGGAAAATTTAAGTGGAAATCTGTGATAGTAATACAAGAGAGTTCCAAAGGACTGAGAGAGGCAGCTAAGGAACTCTAAGGAAACGGCTGATTTGTCAAGTAGAAGGGCTGTTAACAAGGAGTTTATACATGTTTAAGGCAGGATGGCTGATGAGTTAAAAGAATGAGAGTTCTAAGGAAGAAATTTAGATTCTAGTGAAGAGAAAGGAAGAGGAAGACTGAAGGTACGAAATGCTTGCTTCTGTGCCCAGTGTGAGCCCGTTGGTCTTTAGAGGCACAGTGGGATGAAGGTTCCTATTCCTCCTGCACAGGGAGAAACACTGTGATTGGGAGTGAGGAAGGTGATAGGTGCTTTTTGACTGTTAGAGCAGCTTTATTTTTTGTAATGGGCTGTACAAGGGGTAAGGGCTTAACTGGAGAATTAAAGTGACCCACCTGTCTGTGGTATAGGGTGAGCTGCTGGGATAAGAAACTCAGATACAGACTAGCTGATAGCAAGTAGTAAGAGGTAGTTGGAGGTAGCCCCGTGTTTCCTGTGTCTCTGCCTACACCTGCAATCTCCTTTTTGATCTCTCCTTTCGAAACTGGAGGTGTTGCTGATGATCTAACCAGCACCTGACTAGCCAGACATTTGTACTTGGAGGGTAGCTGCATCGTATGATGGGGGAGTGGCTGTCACCCTGGAGAATCCTTTCAGAGGATTACCCCAAAATCCTCATAATTTTCCTTTCAGCCTTAAACCACCCCCTTCCATCCAGTCAAAAATGAACAAACTTGAAAGGCCCAGAGTGTTGAAATGGTGTGCAGAGAGAAGAGCCAAGCTCCACACTACCAAGAAAACCTGAGGATGCACTTTCTGATGTTTATTGTGTATTCTGATTTCACTGTGTATTTCTATAGAGTGAAATTATATTGTAATTCAGGAAAGTCCTCCCCATCTCCCCCAGCTCAAAACAATATAGCCAAACCAGTCAGCATTAGATGTTTAAAAAGATTCACTGCAGTATTTAAATTGTTGGTCTGACTTCTTCTGTGGCTGATTACACTAATCCTCAGGAACAGAAAATACCTTTCTGTAAAATACCAATAGTAAAAAAAAAAAAGTCTTACTAGGTCAGGCTAGCTACTGAAAATGCTCTGCACCTTTCTGACCTCTGCTGTGGCTATCTAATAGCTCTTATGGATTAATTCAGGGACAGTAGCAGTCTTTATTCTGGTTTTGGATTTGTGCTTGGCTTTGCACTGATATAAATACTAGATAAACTAAAATTGAGATTTTGAGGGTTTTAATGTTAATTGTGGAGCTACATCTATTTGAGATTGATTTCCCTTGAGATTGTTTTTTCCTCTGAGAACTTCTTTTGCCAATACCAGTGTTTTCCCTTCTTGACTTGAACCTCTTGGTTTCATTAAAACTGGTTTTATATAGTGTGTCTTTGAGTAAGGCTAGAGAATAAACGTCTCTCTTATTTTAAGATGAATTATTTGTTGGAAGGCTATTTTGTTTAGAATAAGAATGTGTATCTGCACCCCTGTCTAGTCTGCTTGAACTAGTTCTGCCCCAGATAGATGAAGCAGTTTAGTTGTAGTTACAATAAACTTGACAAAGAGTGTAAAAGCTGTCTAAGAAGCAGGATAAATTGCTTGAGCTCATCTCTAGGCCACCAGTAGGATCAGAACCAGTTAATTAGTGTGTGTCCCATGCTCCAGTGTAGATTTGTCACACACTGAGAAACTGGCATTGTCCTCACAATGGACATAGCAGAAAGCTTCCCAAATCCAGGCATCATTGGCCTTTTAAAAAATGGTTTGCAAGTACAGCTCACACCTTAGTGCTGTGTGAATGCCAGCTTTGCTCCTCTTTTTTCCTGATCACGATGATCAGTGATGCATTCACTGCTGAAAGCAGGGAAATCCAAATCCTGGTCTTTCATGGAGCGGGGCAGGGGAAACAAGACTGAATGGTGGGACCTGGCTGCGGAATCAGTGAAGTGGGATGATGCGTACATGCACATGTAAAACGGGAGCTGCACTGCAATAGGAACTACAGCTCAAAAGTGCAATGCTACCTCTGGCTGCATGGAATAACATGGATTCAGCAGCACCCTGCATTTTGTCTGTGCGGCCAGAGAGCACCCTGCAATTTGTTTGTGTGGATGGAACCGTTCCAAAGCGTGCAGGATCACACTGCTGCTGGAGCACTTTGTCCTCCCTGCTGATGCACAGCAGTGCCTGCAGCCCCTCAAGGAGCGTGCTGGGGCTTTGCTCACCTTCTTTCTTGCTGCTTGGCTAGTTTCTTCCTTTCTTTTCTCCCTTCTTTTCTGTACTATAACAGAGTGGGAAAAGTAAAGTTAGGTGTTTTTGAAGCACTGCAATGCACACAAACCAGCTCTAAGTGAGCCCTGAGTGGAAAATCTGTGCTGCACAGCGTGGTCATCACAGCATGCAGTGGGTGTGAGCTGATAGGAAAGACTGCCAGGCTGGTGAGGAGCCCAAAGGACCAGGCATCCTAATGGTACTTTGCCAGTGGCAGTGTTTGTGAGAAACAGAATAAAACTAATTTGTGAGTTAGTTTTAAAATGGTAATTTATTTTGCTTGATGGGCCTGGACACTGTATGAAGTCAGCATCAGTTACCAGAGTATGCTGTAACCCCTCTTCAAAGCCCTGCACAAGTGGTACTTGTAATGCAGGTGGTGTCCACATTTTCTGAAGGGAAAACAGAAGAGCAGTTCAATGGGGAATAGGGGAGATGATCCAGCATGTAACTCCAGAGCTGCTGACCATCAGATCTGTGCTCTGGACCCTCTTTTGTTAGCTGAAATAAGCAAGTAGAAATGCAAAGCTGGAGACATGTGAGTTTCTAACTGAGAAGCAGAACGACCAAGCAGCTAATTGGGAGGAGGCTAGCTCCAACTTGTACAGCTGTTCTGTCCCAACAGCTTGCCTGATGGTGTAATACATCAAAAACAACAATAATCCTGCTGTCCAGTAACATGTATGGGCTAGTTACTATAATCTGAACCGCAGATGAAAGCAGAGATGCAGGAAGGAACATCACAGGTAAAGCCAACCCAAATCTATAATGACAAGTCATTCAAAGGATTGGTCATTGAGATGACAGACTCTGACTTACATGGGCTTCCGCCACTTACCAGACTTCCATTTGCTGCCCATAAGCCAACAGCTTCATTCCCTGTTTTGCCCTTTGGCAACATCCAACTACCAAAATTTCTAATGCAGTTTTATGTGTGGAGCTTGCTGGGGTTCTCAGGCAACACCTCTTTTCGCACATGAAAGAGTGATCTCTTCGATGGGATCAAAGAGAAGATATCATTGCCTGCTTCTATGCCTAAAGTGAGAGAATTTTTAATTGAATAAGACATATTTATATCTTTTGAGGCTGTTTTTCTAATGTTGGCTAACATCCTCAGCTATATGCCTTGGTTCCCATGCTTTGGGGAAAAGAGGTGGGAATAGCAATGGAATATTCTGATGCCAAAACAGTGACTGGCACTGAGCAGAAAGGTCACTGCTGTCATGCAAGCTCCCTGATCTTTGGGCTCTTCTGAGAAGTACTGCTTATGGAATGACTGTCTGAAAATCCATCCAATGTTAAGGATTGTTCCTGTAATTCCTGTGTCTTCTTGCAAGTTGCAAATATTCCTTGCACAATCTTTTAGAAAGGGAAAATGATGCAGAGCTCTTGATTTGCCATCCAGTACCACTTTGTACTCAAATTAATCCTGAAGAATCTTTTGAATCCATGCATGTCACCAAAATATAATTAAGATTACCCAATAGAGCTCTTGATTCATAGGACTGGGACTAATGAGCACCAGTAAAGTACAAATTGTATTGGGTAATCTCTGTGTTTGGACACACAATCCTTCAAGCCAAATCATTCTTGTAGGCCTGGGAAATCCTTGAATGAAAATTTCTACCATTGCCACAGATCTTCATTAAAATGCAGAGCAAAATCCTCTGTATTCCACCCGCTGTGTAATACTGAGAAGAAAACACAGTGAGTAAAAATCCTGCTCTAATGGTTAAATTCCTCCCAACCTAAAGTAGACATCTTTTTTCCTTATGGCTGCAGATACAAGACCTTGGATGAAGCTCCTGTCAGCAGTTGAGTCTGATCAAGCACTGTGTGCATCTGACAGCCAGCTTGGCACCACCTCACCACATGCAGCAACAGGGCTCCAATGGATTCCACAAGCAAGTAGGCCTGAAAGGCATATTAATTTTTAATTAAATGTTGAACTTTCAAGTTTGGAAGGCTTCCTCAAGATATGTCTCAGTAATATGTATGAATGAGGAGGTAGTTCTTAAGCTATGTATTGTTGGTAAGCAAACTAAAACTCCCTAGTGAGAATAAATTTATACATACATGTGTATGTGGGAGGGGGTGTATATACACATATATATATATTTTAAAGACATCTGGTACAGTAGCACCTTTGCAGCAAGGAGAGCCTCCTGCCTTGCTCTGGTTTGCATTCAGTGCTGCAGCAGTTTCACAGACCTTTATGGCTGGGGCAGCTCACCCAGGAGCAGGGAGTCTCTGCTGGTGCAAAGAGCTTCAATCACAAGGAAAAATCCTAAAAATAATGTCATAATCTAATGCTGAGATGCATGGAAAGAGCTTGGCAGAGTTATGTACAGGACTAATTGGTGTGGTATAGCTTTCTGTGCAGGGAAGGTTGGCTTGCTTGGGGTTTTTTTGGTGATGAATATCTAGGGAAAAGAGACATGGAAGAGGACACAACGAGAGAGATAGAAAGTGTTAATGGTTTGGGCTCTGGAAACATGTGACTAGAAAATTAATGTTGTTCCCTATGGAAAGAATTGCACCTGTTTCATCACATGTTTTTTTTTCAGCCATTTAGCCCTCTTCAGATCACATGAGTTTTTTAGGAGTTTGGCAGAAGGTATGCTGAGCCAGACTTTGTTGCACGTCTCTTCTTTCTGGATGCATTCTTACAACGGGAAAGTGTAGGAAAGAAAGCAACTCTGGAATATCCTAGCATTTTGCTCTCATAGGTAACTGTATATGTTTTCTTGTTAGTAAGCACTGCATGTCACTCTTTCAACAGCCCAGCACTGTATTTACTGTGTGGTAAATTTATTTGGTATTTACCCAAGTGTGTGTGGTAATACCACAGCTCCTGTATATGATGCACCATTACACAAAACTCCAGTAAACAAGTAACTTTTAATCATTTCTGTCCCTTTCAGAAGTGCATTTGTATATGTGTTCTCTAACCCATGGTGAAAAAGTGTTTGTAATATATTCTTAAGAGTAACAGATGTATTTGAATAAGGGATGTCTGTTAATTGGGATAAATCCTAGAAGTCAGAGTAGTTCTGAAATGTGAAAGCAGCATTAGATAAAAATTAAATTAAAAAAAAAAAACCAACAAAAACAAAACCAAAAAAAACCACCAACCAAACCAAACCAAAAAAATCCCAAACACATGCCACTCTCCCTGAGTGAAAATCTACAATTAAATGACTCACCATTTTAACTAATCAAAAAATTCTTTAGACGTGTTTCTGCTAGGGCCACTGGCCCAGCATTGGGCTGATTGATGGGGCTTATGCAATGATTTTTAGGACTTTCCACTCTGGTCAAAAATCTTCCCAACTCCTAATAGTCCAGCTGGCCCAGAGATGGAGTGGGGGATGTCTTCATAAATCCTGCATTCAAAAATGCAGGGGTTTCTTTGCCAATCTAAGTATGTATAAGTCTTTGGTACTTTTCCAACTACTCACTTAAATAAGATCATGTATTGAGCACTAGGTGTGAAAGAAATATACATGTCTTTAAAAGCTAACAAGAAAAGGATTTTTGTTTGTTTAATTTAGAAGCTGGCATTATGCCTCCTGCTCTTTACAGTTGCTAATAGCAGTCAACTTCCATCTCTGCCAGGCCCTGAGAATGGCAAGAGACGCTGGGGACACAAGAGAACAGGATTTACACCTTTCCATTTGGCTGACTTTGCCTAATTTGGCAGAGGAAAACTCTTTGGCATTCCTGGTTTTAAGAAATCTGCAAACTAAGAGAGGTTTGCTGAACTGTTGCCTAATGTCTAGGAGCTGCTAAACTGTGATAGCGTTTCAACACCAAAATGGCTAAAATAGCACAAGTGTTGCTCCTGTAATCTCCAAAACACCTCAGGACAACCCTAGAATTTACTTATTTATATTTTTCTGAACAACCTGGTACTGGAGGCAAGGTTTGCAGTTCACAGTCATCCCACATGCACTTCAGTAATGCACACGATTGTTAAATTCCTGTTCTGCTAAGATGCCTACTTGATTTAAAAAGCAGAAAGTCTTTGAGGAGGGGAATTCTTGAAGGTCTTCAGCTAAGGTGAACCCAAACCCTTGCAAGTTAATTAAGAGCCTTCTTAAAGGCATGTGGATTGATGGCAAGGTCACAAAAGAACACCAGCCTTTTTGGGGGGAACTCTGGGTGCGTAGATCAAAGATTATGCTCAAGAAAATGAAAGGAAAAAAAAAAAATCCTGCTCAGTACCTTTGTATACCTTTGCCCAGGGCCAAGAGGAAGTAAAGGTGGCCCTTCCTCTGCTAAGCTGCTGCTGGGAGACAGGGGAGCTGGACCCCTCTGCCATTGCCTCCCACTGTGAGGACTCAAGGCTCAGGGTGAGGGGTGTCAGGAGAGGAAGCCCTGCTGCCTCCCAGCGAGTCAGTGACCATGGATGCTGCTGCCCTGGTGCTCCTCCAACAGCCTTTCCAGCAGGGGACTGGCCCTGCTGCTGCCCCTCTTCAACTTGGAGGAAATGTTTGCCAGTGACTCAGGGAACAGGGGCTGGAGCTTTAGGAATAAACTCTTTTTTCACAGGCAAATGAGTGGGAAGTGTTTCCAATATATGTGCATATGTACAGTTGTCCTGCTACTGGAGACATCAGAAATGTCCCTTGTAATAGCCTTTAAAGGAAAATGGAAGGAAATTTCAAGCAGTATTGACCAAAAACTACAATTGTATAATTTGAAAAATGCCAGAATATTTGGTTTGTTTGGTATTTTCACCTCCTTTTTGTGTTTTTTTTTTATACTACACTCATGAAACCAATAGAAAATAATGAAGCATACAACTGAATCCATATTACAGAACGCAAAAGGTTTCTTATAATAACATGTACCTATCCCTAGTTGTTATAATTTCTCAATTAGAAGAACCAAAAAAGTTGGTGAGGGAGATTATAGTTGAGCAGTTTGTAGGATTTTTTTTCTTTTATTCCTCCACTCACAGCAAGACATTGGCAGAATCCCATTGAACTGAGAAGAAGATAATTAGATTCCAGAAATAATTCTTATTGCCTGTCTTAAAATTACTACTCGTATTCTCTCTCTGTATTGAAACAGAAGTGTTTTACAGATTCAGATTTTTTTTATAGTGGTATTGAACTTTCTGTTTGCTCAAATTAAGAAATATCAATGGTATGTGCAATAAAAATTGATTTTCAAGAGTGCTATGTGCAATGCAGCTCATTTGAGGAATATTGCTTTGCTTGTGCTATATGGGCAGAATCTGCAGGCTGTCTGACAGCATTTTAAATGGAAGTAGTGATTTTAGTAATGACATGAATAAAACATCCCCTAGCCATGAAGCTGGAGCCAAATAAACCTTACGTTTTGACCACAGCTGATTTCAATCCCTAGAAAGAATCTGGGTCAGAGAGAGACACCAAGGAATGTGATTGCCAACATGAGTATCGCCTGGAAAAGGTGTCACTGTTTTCTCAGTTGTTTTTTTTGTTTTGTTTTTGGTTTTGTTTTTATCAGCACAGCAGGCTTGTGTAAAGTACATCTGTAGCAATGAACTTTTCTTAATACACTGCATTCGCATTAGGAAGATTTTGCCATACATCTGATCCATCCATCCTGGAAAAATAGTCTTGCATAAAGATTTTTATTCTAGTGTATGTAGCTCTTCATCCATGTTTTTTTTCTGCATTTTGTCTTTTAATCTCTTGAGAAACTGTAGCCATTTCATGGGAGTGGGTCTGTGCTACCAATTATTATCCTCTCACCAAGGACATTCTTTATTTAGGTATTTCCTGAAGGTCAAACAAATAACTCATTGGCATCAACAGTTTGCTTTTACCTTGCATCCATGTCATGACTTAAAAAAGCCAAGCTCAGCACACGTGGGCCTGCTTTGCCAAGCCCACTGGACTTGAGAGGTATATGCATACATAGGGGTTCTCATGGATGATCACACCAGGTTCAAGATATCTGGCATGTGATCTTTTTGGGGTTTTCCCTCATTTGCTTTAGGTCTCCTTTCAGACTGAAAGTCCAAGAACCATAATCCTGTTCCTGAAAACACACCTTCCTTCCCACCACACCTTCCCCATAACCTGCCTTTCCTGCATCATTTGCAAGCCTTTTTATTTATTTTTTTGTGCTTGTCTAGTGCCAGATATAAGTACTGTTTGTTGGCTCTTAGATAACAGGGTAGTAAAGATAGTAGCAATAATCTCATGGTTCGAAGAGGCATCTTGTCTGAATTTATTGTCATGGTATAAAATCTGTTAAAAGATCACTTTTTGCATTGAACTCAACATTGTGATTTGAGAGCTGTTTAAAGGCTGAAGGACACTTGTGTTTTTCATGGATGTTTCACATTTTTTAAGCAGAACTAAAAAAATGGGCATTTGTACTATGCAACTTGCTTGACTACTTGGTAGTTGTGTGCCATTACCATTTTGCAAACCCCTTTTACTGCTGAAAGTCTTGCTCTCTCTACCTCTGGTTTTGCATTTTCACCATAGCCAGGAGTTACCACCATAGCCAGGAGTTACCACATGCACAACTCTGCCCAAAAGGTGTATCCAGGGAATAAATGCACACTCCTCTGTTTCAGGCGAGTTCTGCTGGGTCAGATCAAACGGCTGACAAAGGCAGGCTTGCACTAACCAGTATGCTTTGTCTCAGGCAGATTAGGAAAAGAGTAGAACAATTCCAATTTAGTGAGCTACAGGGAGAGCCTTGGTTTCTGGGAATGTCCATCCAGATGCCTGGCATCTTTAGCCTGCAGAACCAGGTCTGGAAGAGGATGTTTACCAGCTGTCTGTAAAATAATGACTGTTTTCTGAGGCTACAGTCACATGGTCGTTGTAGAAATGGCTTTGTGGCACTTGAAGATGTCCATTCCCAGCCATACACTGGAAATTACCCTTTTCCTGGTACAGCTTAGATGTCAGAATAAATCATCTGGGCACTCATCATGTGTTTCAGTGCAGAGGCATCAGGTTAGTAAGTGCTGGTAGGAGTGATGTGAGTTTACCCACCTGACATTCCACTGGAATTTAAGCACCAATTTTTTTACACAGCCCTTTATCCTCTGCCACGGGGCTGACTGTACAGCTGCTGTGGAGCAATGACAAACGCCTGGATGTTGGTCACATCTATAACTGGCACAGCTGCTTCTCCACTAAATACCTGACCCGAGACTGAAAATTAGTCACTTTGCTGTGCAAGGCTTTCTATGGCAGTGTAAAGGACCTGGAAAGGATGCAAACTACATCTGGCAAGAGGCTTGTCCTGTGCAGAAGTAATTTTTGAAACAATGCATATATTCTAGAAGAAAAAAAACTCCTGTGTGGGAAACCTAGAGTTTTTACTTAGATGTGAAAAGGCCAAAACATCATGTGTTTTAAGTATGCAAGGCAAGCAATTCTCTGTCACTTAGCAAACAGGAAACGTCAAAATAGCTGAGGCGTGAAAGTCACTAACAGCCACAAATAAAGTAATCTCTGGTGAGTGTAACCATGAAAAATGTGAAATGTGTTTCTCTCTCAATCATCAAAGCAACTTCCTCCAGTCCCACAGAAACTAAATTGGTAGTTAGACACTAGATCTCATAAGAATAAAAATTTGTCAGCTGTCTCAGACATTCTCCACCAGCACTGTGTGTGCCACAGCAAAGCAGCAGGTGAATGCTCCCAAAAGGCTACATTACCCACCCACATCTGCAGATGGTGCCAAGAGCTGCTGATGGTACTGCTACTGGAGTGCCTCAGTAAATCCAGAGCTTCTGGAAGAACGTGGCATTACTGGCTAGTCCTGAATAAACTCACCCCATTTGGACTCTGACTTGGTATTTTGCAAGTTACTAAGCTTCATTTGACAGGTTAAATAATGAAGGATCTGTCACATATGTAGATAAATAGTTGTAAGGAATAATTATCTTTGGTGCTGCATTGTTTTTGATCTTGCTTCAGTTTCCAACCAATTTGTTGGGCTGTCTTTTCCTACTTGATTGGAATGGCAGTACTCTTAGAAAACACTTTCCCATGTGGGTGCTTTATACACCAAAACCGGGTGACCCCTAACCTTCTGGGTTACCAAACAACACTAACCTTTTGGTAGGTGTTGGTGTAATATGATGGTACTGGTGCAGCATTTTAGCTTTTACTTGGGTCAGTGCACAATATTTTCTTCCATGATTTGTGACAGAAACTATTTTTGTTTTTTTTTCCTGAAAATTTGCCTTGAGTGTTTTGAAGCATCTGGCTCTTTGAGGCTATCTTCTGACACAATAGGTACCCACGCGTTCACCTCTAAGAGCAGGTTGTTGTGATGCGATAAAAAAACTTCTGAACCTGAACTATTTGTCTAACCACACCACTGCAGCTTTCACTGTTGGTTAAAACTACTGTACCATGATTTTTTTTTCTAATGTGAGCCTTGAACAAAAGGTTTGTTCCAGCCAGATCTCCTGTCACACTACTGAAACCTGTTTAAACTCTCCACTTGACAGTGAAGCAGTGGTTTCAAAGCTAGAAAATGAGGCTGTAACCTAAGAGTCTGCCTGTTCTTGATGTGAGAGCCTCCCCTGTTGTAGCAGTCACAGTGTAGTGAGGTCACAGGTATTCATACAGCTACAATGTACTGCTCTAGTCCCTGTTTGACAGAGACCAAGGCAGGGTGTGAAAGAAGCTGATGGTACAGTTCTTACAGCAGTTGCTGCTATAAGAGAAGCTGCAGTGCAGGTGAATTACAGGCCATTGCTTGTGTCATTTGCAGTCACGTTGTGCAAGATCACTGTCAAAGACACATTAGAGATGTGAGTTTGCACTTGAACTGAGGCTTGACTTTGCTAAGAACTTCAGTATTATTCCAACAATCTTGAAGTGGGTCAGGTACTGAAAGGGAAGCCAGTGCTGGTTGGACAGCATTAATTTTGGTTATTATGATGTGCATTGTCTGGTTAGACCTGTTTTTGAAATGTGCCACTACATGATGTGCTCATTACAGCAACCTCATCATCTCTCCTGCCAGTCCTCAGCACGCTGCCTGTAAACAGTCCACTCTGAGTCTGCTGGTGCTGGAGGCAGATCTTGTGCAACCGGTGGTGGAGGAGCCTGCTGTTGGGTTGGCTGGTGGGATGGAAAGCGATACAGAGCTCTGAGGGAGAGCCTAGGTTAAGCTGTGCCCATCAGCAAGGGTTTTGTCTGTAAGTCAGGTCAGTAAGAGAGATAATAGTGTTGAGACAGTACCTCAACATCTCTTTTTCTTCCTGCTCGCAAAAATATTTGAAAGTAATTTAGTCTGGTTTAATTTTGAAGCTGTTGAGCTGTTTAGACTGTCATATTTCAGCATTTACTCTGTTTGTGGTGACATTTAAATGCAACAGAAATTAAATTTAAACACAGCCCAGCCACATGTTCCAGGCAACAAGCTTCCATGAGGGAGCAAGCAAATAACTTTATGCTGCTTGTTTTCCTTCTTGTCTTGCCACTCCACTGCCTTTCACTGCACCTCCAGGCCTCTCAGCCACCCCTGCTGCCTCCAACATGTCAAAAAAGACCCCAAACCAAACACAAAATAAAACCCAACTATGCTCCTTTTTAAAGCAAATAAAATGGTGTATTTGTTATTTCCATAGAAGGAAGAAATGAGGAAAAACCCCAAAACAAAACAACAATTCCAAACTTACAGATCTACCTATATTCAGGTAGCTTTATTATGGTGAATTATACCTCTGCCTAATCCTCTGAAGCGGTGACAGAGGAAAATAAAAACAAGCTTTTTCTTCATCCAGGACATATAGGAAAGAAAAGAAAAAGTTTCTAAATGGATAGGAATTATGTGAATCACTACGCCTTGAAATCATTCTGTTTCTTCGTAATAGTGTCCTGGTAAATCATGTTTCTGAATATTGATCCTGTTTTTACAGGACCCCATTGTCCTTGTACCTCTTGAAATCTATGAAACTTGTACAGTCAGTACAAGTGCGTTTTGATTTGCAGGGGAGGAATTAAGGTACTAAAAGTATACATTTATCTGGTTGTCCTGAGCTTTTTTTGTTCTTTCAGTGACTTGGAGTAAAATTCTGCTTTTGGCAGAATCCTCAATATGATCTGTTAAAAGCTGCTCTGTGCTTCTTTCATTATATGCTTCTTTTGCTGGTGTGCATCTCTGTGTTGTTAAAAAAATAAATGTTAAAAAAAAAAAGTGTATA